AGAATTTATGCCATTTCCTGGCATCATTTGAATAAAAGCATATAACTCAAACATTCCCAGCTCTCACTGTTGAGAAATAGTTTAACAAACAGGAGACAAAGAATCACTTAAATTACCAGTGCTGCGCTGTACTTAAATGTACTGCAGTGCTGCAAGAGACACAGCTTTAGGAAGCCACAGAGAGCTCTCCGCACATATTACATGTAGCGGTACCACCCAAATATCTGTTCCAGCAGCTCTAAGATATTTATCAGTGAAGAAGATTGAACTACAAACAGGATTTTCAGCTCTGCACGGTTCTGAAAGGCACAGAACAGGAAACACCAACTCCTGGTGGTATGAACTCACCCTCCCCACTGAAAGGACGGGGTTATGCCCATCCTGGCCCCAGCAAGCACTCGCCAGTGACCAAGTGCCACCGACCACACAAGCAGATTTTGTAATGGCACATTACACTAGCTGGGATTCGTTGCCTCTCAGTGATACTAATCCCAAGCCCCTCTGCTACCGAGTTGCATGTTCGGAGGAGCTAGAAGTCACTGCCTGCGAGAAAGACAGAACAGACCACTTACCTGCTGCCACTGCCAGAACGACATAGCTGACGAAAAAAAAATTATCACACAACTTGGGCAAGGATGAGGTAGTACTACTGAAAAGACTGCTGTCCCTCAGATCATGACATTCTGCAATCCAAGCATCCAATGTAAACAGTGTTTTCCCAACAGCAACTCTTCCCTAATCTGAGGGCTTCAGGCCGCAGTACAGAGCTAGCAGAGCCCAGTTCGGTTACGAGGATCATTCACATTTCAGCACCTTTGTATTAAGAGCTGAATGAAGAACCTTAGAAGGTGAGAAAGAAGGGGCCTATTATACAATCAACTGATTTGCTGAGTCAGCACCGTGTTTGAGATTCAGGGTATCAATACTGAAATACCAAACATGAAATTCACCAGCATATGTAGCATGAAGTAATAACTACTGACAATACACTCCACTTCTATTCCAGATGCTTATCTCAACCTTTCATTATTGGACCTACTGAAGAATATAAGGCTAATATCAATGGAAATATTTATGAAAATAGTCTACGAATACTTCAAAAGTCTTTGAAGAAACTTAATGCAAAATTTAACTATCTAGATCTCATTAAGTTAGCACAACACCATAAACAGGTCCTGAGGAGAGGGACACAAAGCATTTCATTCTAGATGAAGTCAGGAAAGGATAATATAGTAAGAGCCTATGGACAAAGTTAATGAGAAAACACAATCCTTGGAACAGTTTACTGAAGATACCAGGATTTTTCAGTCCTGGCCATTTAAGCAACCAGCAAATACTACAGTGTGACAAAAGTTTCTGTTTTATGCTCACCCTCAATACACAACTCTTCTAAAGAAAGCATTCGTGCTCTTTGTAAGGCTTGAAGGGAACCCTGTTCCGCAATCCATATTCAATTCCCATGACAATATATCTCTGCTCCCATTAAAGCCATCTTTGAATGCACTGTTTTATCTTCCTCAACAGGCCAGATTACATCCATCCCCACGGCACCTCCCCATGGAGTTTCTCCCCCAGATTAATCGAGTTTACCTGTATCAAGGGCCCTGTTGTAACTCTGCCCCGATCCTTTCACTCGTATTTTACAGCATTTCCCCACCTATGTCTGCATCCTTTTGCCTGCTGCCACTGTACAAAATCCGTGCGGACTCCTGCCAATACAATCTCACATCTTGTTTTCATTTCGCACAGGCTGCCTCCGGTCTTGCTTAGAGATAAGGAAAACTGGACTTATAGGGGACTGCAGGGCATAACTACTGTTACTCAGGATGAAAGCACAAACAGGTTCAGACACCAAAGAAAACTTTTGATAGCATTTTGTATATAAGCTGGACACCAGTGACACTCCATCTGCAGCTTTAGAACACTCTCTACACCTTGCTGCTTTGAAATGCAAGCCTTTACCTTTTTCACTCCTGGGATGAAAAGTTATTTGAAGTTTCACTGACTCTCACTACCCATGCACATTGTTACGGAGCAACAATTACTGCGGGCAGATCTGAAAGAAATACCTCTGTCCCACATTTGCTGCAACCACCAGTTACATTTGGAGTTATATTCCTCATCAGCCACACTCGCCCCTTTTGTTAGGGAAGGAACAAGCAGATTCACATCTGTTAATCTGGGGCATGTGCTAATACATAATTTTGTGGTGCTTTGCTACTGGATTTGTCTGGAGATTGGCACATTAACATGGTCACAGGTTTTAAACCTACAAGTCCTCACATGAGAGTCTACGAGTGATTCCTGTCTAAAGGTCTATATTGCCCTCTGTATGACTGCATACTCCTTCTCGGTTGCTTTCTTCTTCTTCTCTGATGATGAATGTGTTCCTACTGGATTCCAGGGCAGGGTACAAATGCTCTCATTTTCATATTTCTGCAAGAGTGCTACTTCAAAATCTCATTAGAAGCGCCTGTTTGTAAAAGTCCACAAACCTCTTCAGCAAGATTTCAGAGTACTACTATGTTTAATAAGCTTTGCCCAAATCTTTTACTCTGAACTATGGGGAGTATTAGATGAGTGCTGAACTTGGAAGCTACAGCTTCAAAAAAGTCAGTACAAAAGCCAAGTACATTACCACATCTGGCCAGCAGCACATCTTGAATTTTCCCTTAGTTCTAAAAGTTGAAATGAGAGATCTGGGCTCGTGCCACCCTTCTACCCCTGGTATTTAATAGTTTCCTTCCAACATATTCAGCCTGAATAAAGTCACCTCACCTGACTGAAAACTTGCTATTGAGAGAAGTATCAAAGCTCAATCACTTGCTTCAGAAACCTAGAAACACACATGCTTGTTACATAACAGAAATGATTCTCCTTGGTAACAAGAATTCTCCTTGCAGATCCCTCCAGTTAAAAGCTAGTAATTCTTAGAGCTGCTTCATACCTCTGCTATAATGGGAAAAAGCCTGTATATGCCCTCCCATACTCTGAATGAGAGAACATCTTGCTTCAGGTCTAGGCCATCTCAGTTACAAACTTATTATATACCTTTTAGTGAACAATAAGCTCGTAAGGCTTCGGGGAGACCTTATAACCATGTTCCAGTATTTAAAGGATGGCTACAAAGGAGATGGAGACTCCCTTTTTACAAGCAGTCACATGGAAAAGACGGGTAATGGGTACAAGATGTTGCTGGGGCGATTCTGATTGGACACGAGCAAAATTTTTCACAATGAGAACAATCATCCATTGGAACAATCTCCCCGGGGAAGCGGTGGATTCCCCAACATTGGACACTTTTAAGATTCAGCTGAACGCGGTGCTGGCCCATCTTGTCTAGACCGTGCTTTTGCCAAGAAAGTTCGATGATATGATCCTTGAGGTCCCTTCGAACGTGGTATTCTACGATTCTGTGATTCAATCCTCTTTATCCAATGACAACTGGATTACCGAATTTAAGAGCTACCTTGAAAACCGTAAGTTTCAACTTCTTCCATCAGCCCTAACACAAAAGATGAGCCTGTGGCTGACCGCCCTTATTTGTGCCATCCCCACAAACGAATGGTTTGGGAGCACAGACCTCGTCTCTGCAACACCATGGCTAATAGCTACAGACTATGTGTAATAGATGGCATAGCGGGGTATAGTCAAAATAAACTGATACACCTTCAAACTTGGTTCCGGAGTGCTGTGATGTCCACTATGATGTGCTGTAGTCACTAAGGGAGTCACAGGACCTACGCACCAGCACTCAAAGGACAAATCTTTGACACCACTAAGACTGTAGGATTTAAACTGCACCTACTGCACTTCCTTCTACTATAAAGTACATGCCACACCCAACTGTTTTTAGGGTTGCCATGATAGTAAGTATTCCATGGTATTTCAGGAAAAGGAGGTCTGTCCACACCTGAAGTCACCAGTCATAGACCACCCCGTCCCTTCCACTACTAGCAGGACTACAAAGCTCTACTAGTCTGTTTCTCTCCGTGTAAAGTGCCAGGTTTGTTATTCTTCAGTCTACTGAAGAGCTTCCACACCTGCAATTTCCCTGACTGCAGCTGAAACAGAAGCAGAAGCTCCTTCAGAACCTCCACACCTGCATCTTCAGAGATACCGCAGCAGCAGCCACCAAGCCTCAGGGACTGAGGAAATCCCCAGTCACAGGGGTATAAGTTCTTGTGATAAGGTCTGCACAAGGACAGCTGCAAGGTCTAAGTTCACTTCCTTCCTACTACTTCCTGCCTAAGTCTTCACTTCAGTAACTTATAACTGATATTGGCTTCCAACTTCATCAGTCACAGTTAAAGCCAGAACACGCAATAGCAGCAACAGATCCGTCCTTGGTCCTAGAAGGGTCTATTAGTATGAACACAGCAAGACTGTGAAAGACTCCTGTCTTCCAGCTCCATGAGGAACACAGGTCCTTGCAGACAACTAGGTACTACCTCCAGACTAAAATCTTGAAGACATCTTTTCCTCCTACATAGTCTACAGTAGAGTAGACTTCATTTGAGTGTAGAAACAGTAGTATTATGAGCTTGTTTCAGCACCGCCTCAGAAGAAACACTTCTAGGAACCACTTGGACTAAAGACCTGTCCTACTATTTTCATCCCTCTGAAATCAGGTACAGACACTAACTTGCCACTCAGATCTCCACAAAAGCTTTTTTTACTCATCTTCAAAGTAATACTTCAGAGCTGTTACATCACTCCATCTAACTCAGTCTTTCTCTCACACAAACCATTAGACAGATCAACATTTGATACGGTTCTCTTGCTGCAGTTGCCATTGATTGTGTAGTTATAAATCTGCTGTTGGGCCTAAGGCTGCCAATACTCTTGTTGCAGTTAGTCTTTTGCAGCTCAGAAATTCTTGCTGCCTAGATAACAGCAATGCAGGACAGGTGGAATTCAGGGGAAGGGTAGAAGAGAAGCACAACAGCAGTCTTTTTTTAAAATATGTAAATTGGAAGAAAGAAATTCAGAACACTTACCTGTATGGACTGATGGAATCCTAACCACACCTCATGCGGCAATTCACTTTCAGGAATTGAAAGCAGTAGCTCAAAACAACTCCTGGAAAAGTAAGAGGCAAGTAAGCAAGCTACCTGAACAGATTCTGTTGTTACGTTAAATAACATTTGTGGCATGTATTACTTAGCATTCAGATAAGAAGTGACAGTAACATTGAAACATGTTTGACTGCACAAATCAGTTAAAGGCCAGAAGCAGGCCCAGAATCAAGCATGAGTCATCATATGGAAAGAGCGCTTCTTTTTACTATGCACAATCTTGCCAGGATAAGATTGCAGCTCCTCGTATAATCCTGTCTGTTCAATGCGGCATTACAGAATTTCTGCTTTCCTCTCACAAAAGAATCCCAATATCCATTCTGAATGAAACTCATTTGACCACAGCATGGGCTCTTTGCCTACAGTGAAAATGAAAGCCAGCTTTACCTAACAAAGTTTCAGTGCTGACATACATAAGAAAATAAAACTAAAGAACAGCTTGACAGAAGAAGACACATGCATCAGCACAGAAATGGACCTAGAGAACAGATCCCTAACAGTATCCTAAAGGCAACAGACCAACAAGCTATGGCAAGAGGTGCATCAGCACAGAAATGGATCCGCTTAATAGATTCCTAGAAACACCTTATGAGTCTTTGATAGCACAGCGGGAAGGGTGGGGTGCAAGGAAGCATTCAAATACCTATGGTGTGAACTGCAACAAGCTCAAGAGCTTACCAAACCAAAAAACCCCACCCACATCAGTATGCATATCAAAGATGTTCAGATTAAAGTCAGAGTTAAACAGATCAGATTGCAAAATTCCCAGTTTGTTAATTCAGGGAGCCACTGCATTTGTGTACCTCAGTTATCTACACAACACGGGTGGACAACATCCCCTTATTTTTTCATTAAGCCAAGCTCCTGCTTAAAAATAGGACACTAGTCACCCAGTCTTGATTTTATACCCAGGAAGGTTTGTTACATCCCATTTTCAACCCTGTCAACAATTAATGTTGGTATGAGTCAGCCCCATCACAGCAGCATGTGAACTTCTGCTGTGTATCAGGTTTTCCAAATGAAAATTCAGGAAAGTGGGAAGGGTTCAGAAAATTTTAACATCTCTGAAATATCCAGCAAATTTGAGACCTATATATTCCGTACATAAGTTCAGATTCCAAAAACAGAAGGGGGGAAAGCAAGACCTACTTGATATTCCCTCATTTAGACCATCATGTCAATCCTATCCCTTTTCAGAAACAAAAAGGGAACAACTGTATGTACTCAGTGCATCCATCTCATTTCAGGGAAAAGTCTTGGAGAACAAGAATCCCTGTTTTCTAGGAGACAAAGCAATGGCAGGACTACTGCCTGTATTGTTCTTCAATAGGGGCTATCTGATCTTGTACGGGTCATATGGATTACCTAAACCCTCACTGCTGCGCAGACCAGTTGGTCATAATCAAACTAAATGCGTTAACTACGACACTCCGTCTAGAGATTCACAAGATTACATGCAGCAAAAGTGTTCTCATAAATCGTGACAATATAAGGAAAGAAAACTGGTCTAAGACTCCACATAATAAATGCACTGAATAATTGCTATAAGCTACACCTACATTGTTAGATAGTTCCAACTCATGCTATTTTTTCTTCAAAACCTCCACTCCCAAATATTAAGTAGAAGAATGACAGGACAACACATTCAGTCTTACCATAGACAGAAGAGCTGAGCTTGGGGAAGGGAAAAAGGAAGAGATGACCATAAAGCAAATATGAGTTCCAAAACTGCTTAGTACGCAAAAAGAATGACTTTCCTTTCCCCCCTCCTCCTGACTTTTGATAAATACATTGAACAGCTACCTGCAAAATGCTATGCCTAATCAATGACTGCCAGATTCAGCAGTCATATACATAAACAAGACCAAATGGACAAATACTCAATTAACATCTGGCCATCCTTTTCACATTTCAGAAGTTCGCCTTCACTGCCCAATCCTGTTCCTTTAAAGAGAGGTTTAGGCCTGCAAAAGCTCTAAACACTTCTGTTAGGCAAAAATACAATAGCCTTCATCACTGTCATTCAGTAATTATTCACATCATCAGGCACTAGAATCTCCATCATTACTATGCCCATGAAAAAGTGGGCAACAGGATCACCAGATATTCCAACTGTCATAGGTCTTAATATTATAAAATAATCAGGACTTTTCCCTTGTACTCAAGCTTGGCAATACAATTCACCAGTCGAGATGTCTAGACCCAGGTGGCTGCTACTGGACTATCAAAAACAACTTTACGAAGTCTCACAGCAGCTGAACTCTATTATAACATAAGCAAAAAAAAAAAGCCACCCACCCCCCCAAATCACTAGATGTGTGTCCAATTTTCATGCATGTCATATAGATTCTTTTAATAAAAAACACACTTGCAAACTTCATGGTCAATGTGCTTCTGGAAAGTCTTTTGATGCACGCCTCATTTTCAGTCTTAAAGTCAACCAATCCTATCTACTTCCACTCTTAATTCCTGGGAATACTTTTTCTAGAATATTACTTTTTCATATGTATGATATTGGTTATATACAATATCAGGTTTAAACAAAATGGCAAAGCAAGGTTTTACAAATAATTTTTCTGTACTTAACCCTTACAGTGCTACTTGGACAGTGAAAAAAATCTGAAATTAGATTTTCAAAGCATTGCGTATACAGAGTGAGACAACAGTCCATGAAGACAAGAGGGCTGAATTTATGCCTCAAGAGTTATCGTCTGTTGTAGTAACGCAGGACTGAGCTGAACCAAGAACTGAAAATTCTTTTGTTGCGAGTCTTTATGTCTTCCTCAGGATCCCAACACCAAGCACTCTAGTTTGGAAATCACTCCATGAGAAATCTGGAGCTCCGGGTTTATAACCACCACATAAAACAGCAAAATATCCAGGATACTCCAATTACAATTTCCTTGGCAGAAAAAATGATCAGAGTTCCAAGTCAATTGCTTAAGTTTTTGTTACAAGAACGGACTCAAACACACAGCTGCATAAAGACTAGCCAGCCTTCCCTACTGGCAAGGGGAGGATCGGCGTTTAGCTTAATTCTTCCTTTTGGTCCTTATTACACAACACTTCAAAAAGCACCTCTATCTCTGAAAGCCCATTTCCTTCTTTATTGTAATGCAACTAAATGGAATTTAGGTATCACGGCTAAGACCACAAATCAAATTACCAGGATCACTTAACGAAATCAAGCCTTTCTACCCCACCCTATGAGTACCACCACAATACTTACCTACACAAAACTCAATTCCAAACTTTTAATCACAATTTCTGTAAATAAATTTTAACAGGTGCTTGAATGCTTCCATTATTAAAAAAATCATTCATCTCAAACACTCAACCTCAAAATATCTTTTAGGACAAGGTCTCTTAGATTTGAATTTCTTTATTTTGGAAGGAATAACTCTGGGCAAAAATCAACAAGTTATTTTTGCATTATATTATTCTGTAATCACCTCATTCACTACTATTTTAAGACAGAAATTTTAAAAAGTAAATTTTAAAAGCTTTCAGAATTGGGTTCATCTCTAGATTGTATTAGAAAAATTTTCTTATCCTAAGTTTCTTAGAGTTAAAAAGATGACTAATTATACATCAGATGATCAGCAGGA